CTACGCAGTAACCGCAGACGGTCAAACAAAATTTCATTCGGTCCGCCGGTAAGGGGCTATCGACTGTCGTAAGCATTTACCGTACTGACATTGCAGGTTCTAGCTTAAGGCCTAGTCATGCGTGTCCCATCGATATTGTGCCACTACATGACGTAGCTGCGAGGAGTTCGGTTCGGGTTCTCAAACGCTCTGTTGGATCTAGCTGATGAGGGAACGGACTGGGTGAAGACATAAAGTACTGCAAAATGATTATCTGAGACCTCATTCGTCGTTTTAAAATCAGCCGAACACACAGTAATCTCAGCCAGATATTCCAAATACGACTCTAGGCACTCGCATTTATTGTCAAGGTCATTTGTAGTGCCATGATGACAGTGTCGAAAATGCAACAAAGATGTTGCCGCATGTATGGCCGCTGTCACTGCCACCACATTATCGAACACTGGGATGTTCATTTACAGTGTTCTGACTATCGCAAAGCATCAACCAGTAGACTGCGGGGCGTCTGATGTTCCACCCTGAACTATCGCAGCAACGCATTTTTGCCTAAGCTATTGACACGAGGCTATGCATACGCCCTGTGTGATCTGGCTGATCAGAGAGCTGATTAAGTGTAGATATGAATTGCTACAGAATGACTAACCGCAATTTATTTTTTAGTTGTACCGTTAGCCAAACCACGCCCAATTTTCAGGAAGGTTCTAGGACTTCGACCCTGGAAATAAGAATTTATTGGCAATGGTCAGTAGAAGTGCCACGGCACCAGCATCTTAAAGTGCATCGGATATCGACAATATTTTACCCTTGAGGACGTGCCAACGATTGAAGATTACAACTGCAGACTCCTGACTCCCCTTTCGGCCTGCTTGCTCTATACACAGGCGTTGGATATGAAGCAGGTAGTGGCAGACATCCGAAACTGCTCTTCCATATCAGAGGTAGGTACGATTATCCAGAACATATCGCATAAGTCGTTTAAACGACATATGCGGTAGCATGGCTACTGCATCCTATAAATACCGCAGTCCCTTGTGCAGCAACCACCCGTTTCTGCTTTTTTGTCTCTGATGATGGATTCGAGTAGGAATCCGAAACGTCAGGCTAATAAAGCTCATGTCCCTGCGATCATGTCTCCTTCTTCAAGGCAAACGAATCAATCACAAGATCTGTCCGATTGTCGTACAAAAAACCTATTAAATGAACATGGTGTGTAGCTGCACCCCTGTTTGCAGACCTTTGTTAGGCCATAGAAGCGCACTATCGCGGCATTACTGGCTTTTGAGGCCAACGTTTCCCTTCTCGTAAGAAGGTCCACCATCCTGAGCTTGCTGAATATCTTGTTAATCCTGTTTTTGATCTTTCTAATCTCGCTGACGGTCGAGGACGCATAAGCTCGCTTGCCCATCATGATGTTGCCTTTTTTGTGCGATACTCAGTCTTATAAATGGCGACAGTCGAGCGCCCCTTGTCGGCGGGCAGGGTGACGATATCCTTCATTTTCCGTATCTTCAGACGGTCTCGATCTTCCGCCTTAGAAATCGTCATCTGGCGTTTGTGTTGGAGGAGTAAGGCCGACCCTTGTTGTCGCATGGCACTTTTGCAGTCCTCGTCGGCCTCACAATTCTGGAGCGCCGATTTGAAGGATGCAATAAAATCTTCTGGTTGAGCCTCTCTTGCGCGGAACTTCGCATTGTAGGATAGAAAGGCTAGTTGTTGCTGAGTGAAACAATGTTAGGAGACGTTGAGAACCAAGAGACCGTCAGTAGAGGGCTGCTTTGGCGGACTTATTTTTTCAAATTTTCCAGACAGCTTGTCATCTTTCCGCTTGCGGCTGCTGGTTGATCTCGAGCAAGAGCCCTTACGTCACAACGAAACGAGTAAGTTTCATATGAACGATCGGTGAGCGCCCACTACCATTGTATTTTCCCGGTCGAAAACCGACAGATCAACGGGCTCGTGGCACGGTGGGTATAGGCGTGGACTTCTTAACCAACGGACCGCGAGTTCGGGGCTCATTTTTTTACACTTCGGGCTTGGGTAAGACTGGCTGACGACGGCTTGTAAGCCAGAAATGGCCATTTCAGTCTCCCTTGTCTTTGTCGGTAATTCTATCCTGCCTATATATATAATGCGCCGTTGTCCGGCTGCTGGTTGGGCTCGAGAGTGATCCCTTAAGGCACAGCGTTACGTGCGAGTTCCGTATGAACGTTCGGTGAGACCGCACAACCATTATATTTATGTAAATAAAGGCAAAATGGTAATGCAAACAAAGACAAGGGAGAATGAAACGGACGTTTGTGGCTTACAAGCCGTCGTCAGCCAGCAATCCCCAAGCCCGACGTGTGTAAAACCTGAGCCTCGAACTCGCGGCTTGTTGGTTTAGAAGTCCACGCCCCTACCCACCTGGCAACGATTCCGTTGCCCTGTCGGTTTTCGATCGGGATTATACAATAGTAGGGGGCGCTCACCGATCGTTCATACGGAGCTCACTCGTTCCGTTGTGCCTTAAGGGCTTTCTCTCTAGCCCAGCCAGCAGCCGCACAGCGGCGCATGGTATATATAGGCAGAATGTTATTACCGAAAAAGACAAGGCTGGAAAGAGAGCCCTTAAGTCAAAACGGAACGAGTGAGTTCCATATGAACGATCGGTGAGCGCCCCCTACTATTGTATAATCCCGATCGAAAACCGACAGGGCAACAGGCTCGTGGCCCGGTGAGTACAGGCGTGGACTTCTAAACCAACAGGTCGCGAGCTCGAGGCTTGTATGTTTCACACTTCGGGCTTGGGTAGGTCTGGCTGACGACGGCTAATAAGCCAGAATTGGCCATTTCAGTCTCCCTTGCCTTTGTCGGTAATAGCATTCTGCCTACATATCATGCGCCGCTGTGCGGCTGCTGTTTGGAGTCGAGAGAGAGCCCTTAAGAGACAACGGAACGAGTGAGTTCCGTATGAACGATCGGCGAGCGTCCCCTACCATTATGTATGTGTTAATATATTTGAGCAATTTATAATGCGTAGGTACATGAATTGCTCTGTTTACGTACTTAGGGCAAAAGCAGGGTAGACGGGCCTTTGGGGCGTCAAGCTCGGTGCCATTTAGCATCAGGATCCAGAGATTTGTGTTTATTTGAAAGAAGGCGAAGGCACGATCACTGGGATAGTAGGTTTAGAGCTTTCGAACTCGAACTAGAGTTCATCGTCAGAGACTACTCGATTGCATCAAATTACGAGCATTTAGATCGTTCTTCCGTTTGAGCACAAACGGGCCGTTCGGAGAGGCGACTCACTGTCTCAAGTAGCCACCCACACGCTGGAGGAAGGGCATGAGTTCGACTTCGCCAACACGCGGATATTGGCGCGAGCCGGCAACAAGACAGGGCGAGAGCTGTTGGAGGCGTGGATGTCGGACACCAACTCCATCAACAGACACATCGATTTGCCTGCGTGTTATCACGTGCTCCGCCCACACAGCCAGATGGCGCAGCTCACACGGTCGCGAAGTACAACCGGCGTCGCCACGCCGGGGGAACATCATGGACCATGCGACACAAACACCACCTAGCCGCGGACGTACTCCCCCTCCCCCCCCTCCCCCGCAAGGAAGAACGATATAAATGCTCGCAATTTGCTGCACTCGAGTAGTATCTGATGATGAACTCTAGTTCGAGTTCGAAAGCTCTAAACCTACTATCCCAGTGATCGTGCCTTCGCCTTCTTTTAAACAAGAACCTGAGATGCGCATATTCTCTTCCATGTGTGTTTATAAACACAGGTTAATGATTGTTGTAATGCATTCAAATTTGAGCACACTCTCGTCGCCTAAAGCATGCCATAAAGGCCCTAGTTCCTAATGTTTGCAGTAAGTGGAAATCTGTCAATTCATCCGGCAGTTAGTGCTCTCAGTTGGTGCCGAAATACCGGAATTTTTGACATTATACTTTTACGGCAATTAGCAATCAGACAATTAAATGCTTTGGTTGAGGGAGCTCACTGATCGTTCTTACGGAATTCACTCGTCTCATTAAGCCATTTAGGCTCTGCGTCTGCTATGGGCAACGCATGTGCTCTATAGTTTCGAACGTACCTAGCGGTGTACTTATAACCAATCCGAAATCTCGTAGTTTTTACTAACTGCAGCTGAGACCTACATAACATCTGGGTGAAAACTTAGAGTTTTCCGACGCAGGGGTCGTCAAAATCTGCAATTCGATCTTGCTTATTCGTAAAGAGTAGCTGCATTTTGCTGAAGTCTTTCATAGTGTGAGAACAAGTCCGCCATCAAATATTGATCGACCGTTTTTTGTACATTTCACACGCTATTTCACCTCAGGTATGCTGTCTCATAAATAATTATCCGAAGTTCTGAAGTGTGTTTTCTGTTCGAGGAGATTAATTAAGCAGGGTGCTAATCTTAATAACCGTGTTGCGTAGTCGAAGAACAGTTTGGTCGTGTAAGGGGGCAGGCTTTTAAACAAACACCTTGCAGACCATCTACAGTATATGCACCTCGCAAAAATGACTATTCAGTAGCATAACGTCCACTAAGTAGACCTTCATTATCGAAAACTCATTTCGGAATTTCAGTAAACATTTGATGAGAATGATCACTGAGTGCACTCAATGTGACTTTGCAAGATAAATATCGGTGAAGAACATAACGTACTCTAATGCAATGTACGAAAAATCATTCGTTTCTCGACGGTATTTAGAGGAGATCATGTAATGGTTTGCAAAATTTGGCAATGGATTTGATGCATACTGTTGACATTCAAAATGACAACTATAAAACACGATGTTTTATGAACATACGCTTTACATTTTTTTAAAAACCTTATGATTTAAAACTTTTTCAAAAACCGTCTGTTAGGTATGAAATTTATAGAAGACTTAATTTTCTATGAAACTAGTTAATGAAATATGTTTGAATTCATAATTGCATCGACAATCAACGGAACAAATGAGTCATTTTTACTAAGTGCATTTTACGCGAGCAGCCGTAAGAAGTAAATTAAAAAGCCGGCATCCCGAAATAACTGGAACGTCTTAAGATTCTTTTGCACGGTCTTTTGGCCGACATTTCTCCGATTAGAATACCGACCGTAAGCGATTTTGATTCTAAGATTGTATTTAAGATCAGAGTTTGTAATAGGGAAAACGCATGGATTCACAGTTTAAAAATGTGGATCTTATGTTCCTAATATTCCTCTCCCAATCACAGTACTAACGGCTACACAGTGCCGTTCTGGAATGCCAAACATGGATCGAAAAGTGATAAGGCATTTCAATAAAAACAAGCAAGAGCGCATAAAAACATTTAACGTAGAATGCATGGTCAATTTACGCAGTGGAGTAATGTATGTGAAGCTAATGTCGTTCTCTTTTCGTTCTTCTCCAAAAATAAATGGCAGGCTGCGATCAATAGAGACTGAGTGGAGATCCATCTTTCATATTTTCCAGTAAAATCTCTACAGTCCGAAGTACATGGTGGAATTCGAATTGAAAGACTTTTTAGCTGGCCTTTGCAAATGTGTGCCACATTCTTCCGCAATGAAAGGCGATTTCGGACACATGTAAACGGCTAGCCGAAAATGATTTAAGAAGAGACGGATTGACGAGGAACCTAGCGATTTGGCAGTTTTTTCGAAACAGGGACAAATGACCATTTACTAGGCAAATTGATCTGGATAGTCAAAGACGATAGCAAATAGCGATTTTGCCAGGGTAATTTCATGAGCCATTCTGGGACGGGCGAACAACTAAGCAGTCCGATTGTAGACACTCAATCGCCGAGTAATCGTTCCCCTAATAATCAAGGGGATTGGTAGAATCATGGCTATGGACAATCAAGTAGGGGTCAACAAGCAATAATTACATCAAGTATAAACCACCTTGATAAAGGCTAGTGCTGCTAATTATTAAAGTTACGCAATAGCCCAGTAAGTGTGTTCTATAAATATCCAACTCGTTGTGCCTCCATTGCACTTATCTGCTACTGCCCTGATGATAGACTGGACTGAGAACCCGAAATGCCAGGTGATGGCATCTAGTTCTTGCATTCGAAGCGTTCAGTCAGTTGCTAAATGCGCCTGGCTCTGGCATTCCAAAAGGTGAGCTAAGAACTTGGAAGCTGTACTTGAAGACTGACGATTACGAATTCGCCTCGAATGTTGCGGTGTGCGCTGAACCTGTACCTTACATTTACATTAGCAAATATCAAGTTCTAATGGAGATAAAATCATGGCACGCATCTGCTTCAAAATCGCAGTCTGCGTTTACGATTTTGGCGGGTACTTCAAATGAATGGAAATCGCCATGTGACTGCGTTGCTTTCAATATACTATTGTCAATGTTCTAAAAAGGCTCGAATATGGTTGCCCGATACCTGAGTACACCGCATGGACACGACTCAAAGATGTCCTGCCATAAACACCGACCACATTATTTAAATGTGTTTTCAGTATGGGCTACCTAGTAAGAACATTTAGATGCGGACCACTCTTTCCTCATGTATATATCAGTTGTTTAGATTGTAATTCTTACGGACGCAGAATTGTTTGCGACTGGTTGTGAATCTTGATGTTATTTGTCATAGATTTTTCTTGTAATATACCACAGTGTCCTACGTGCCAACAACCAATTCGAGGTTTGCGTCTGCCGGAATATCGATACACGTCTGTAGCACCGTACTCAGAAAGGTCGGGGGTTGTTTTAGGAATTTCTGACGACGGGCGAGTGCAACTGACAATGGAGGAAACGGAAGTGTCCAAAGATGTTGACACGGGCGCATAAAAATCGACCCCATAATGGCCGCGAGATCGGTAGAATGCCACGGGTTTATACGTGAAGAGTGACGTGAATTTGCTGTGATGGACAGTCGGTCAAGGTGGTATTGCAACCGTCTGCTGCGCAGCTAAACAACTTCCTCCTCTTTTGCGATGAAATCGAAGCCGACATCGTTACCTAACCGGATACAGACACGTAGAAAACAGCTGGGCGCCAGGTTCTACCGCGCAGTGTCAAATCCTGGCCATAAGCGCTTGGTTGTTGATAGTAACAGGTGAGTATGCGACCGTATCTAGTCATTGTTTTTATAAATTACCTACTTGTGTCATTTATTTAACATTAAATGGACCATCTTACCCTCATGTCAATCTGTTTCACCCTTCCCCAAGTTGGTTCCGTTGATGTTAGGTTCATCTGAGTGTTAGATAATAGTTCTAGGATTAGGCGAAAGCCCATTGCTGTCATTCTGCACCGAAACATTTATTTTCCAACATTCTTAACATAACTGGCTGAGTGTAAATATTCTTAGTCACGATGGGATTCATTGAAAGACGGTACTCAACGCGGGGGCGAAACAAGAAATGTGAAGAGGATGGATAGCGCAATTCCTTACGTCACATAAGGTCTGAGAACAAGAAGGGCGCCGGGTCCGTAAGGCATGTGTCTAGGCAAAGCTACTTTTTGCTTCGGTTAGACCTACCTCGGAAAGCCTTTTTTAAACCAATTGAGAAAATATATAGGAATATTTAGCAAATGCCAGTGATTACTCCTGGGACCTGCGCTTCTGAGAGCACCTCTACCTCAGCCATTAGAAGGATAACATCGAAGGCAACGCCATCGTT